CTTGAAATCAGATCATTCAGTATTTGACTTCTTGTGCAAGCTCCATTTTCGACACTGTTGCCATATTAAAAAGGACTAGTCACAACAAGGGTAGGAATTGAGAGGGTTTGGTCTTAAACTTGAGTGCCTGGTCTGCCTAGGGATAACGTACTAATGGAATATCAACATGGAGATATATTGTCCCTTTTACAACAAATAATTCCCCAAAATACAGGAGAGTGATTATCAAAGTGTAACCCATTCTCAAGCATAGAAAGATACAGCAACAACAGAAATTCTACTGCAGTAAGTCTGCAAGGAGTAATAATTAGCTCCAAATGTAAGAAAAATCTGAGCTTTTAGTTACTAACTTGGCAACCTTGTAGACAGAAGTGAAAAAATGGCAACTCTCTTTTCCTTTGTATGCCAAAATAAAGGCACTTTCACAAACCTACCCGTAGGAAGACTTATCTATGCGAGAATACAGAAAAGGCAAGTAGTCAACTCTTCCACTGTTGTTCAACCCAAAGCTTCAATACCTAATTTAGAGGATTGTAGGCTTGAGGGATTCTGGGGCTAATGATGAATGGCTTATATTTTTACATAGCCATCCTTAAACAACCAATGTTGGGCATTACATTCAGTCATGCTACAACTCTGCTTGGAGTGGCATTACAAAATTATAATTGGCTGGTATCAGAGAGGATTAGTTATAATTCCAACAGTCATGACTACAACAGAACTTAATTTGGGCCATGAGCAAGCACTTGATTAGAATAATCTGCATCAGTTCGTTTTATTAGAGCCCAAGAAATGCAAAATAGGACTCTGTTCATCATAAGAAAGATTTTCCTTCCTATGCCTTTTAAACAACTCAGTAGACTTGTTTAGGTGAATTTCCATACTCAAGGTAATTTGGGGATTAATTAGGTAGTACTTAGAAAATCTACTGGAAATGGAAATCACTTCTGTATATAAATGATATGTATTACTGTAACACAGTCTTAAATCCTAAAGAAGACATATTTCAGCACAAAATTAAGCATGGCTAATCATAAGTGTATTAAGGGAGTCAATGATTCCACAATTCTGTATTTCATTAAAAGGACTGATCAGATTTACTTTAAAATCTCAAAGAAATGCTATATGTAGGTCACCTTATTTGCTTATCTGACTACTGACAACATGTCTGATAAATGTAACAAATTCATAAAGATATGAGTGTTAAAAAGTCCCCAAAATGTAAAATACTACTTTTATAATTACAAAACCGCATTTGACTCATTTACTTAAGAAAAAAATATATTCTTAACCGTGTTTCATATTGAAATATTAACTATGAATTAACATTTTAAAAGAATCCATGACATTATTTTCTCAAACAAAACTACAGAACAGTTTTGGCCTTCAGTGAATTCTCTGATGATTCACTGTTTTTGTTTTTTTGGGGGTGGTTTTTGTTTGTTTGTTTGTTTTTAAGTACATGGTATTTAAGCTACAAAAAGGTATTTAAGCTACAAACACACAACCAAAAAAAGCTTGATTTTTTTTTAAAGCTAACAAACTTTTTTGATTTTTCCTGCTACCCTGAAGAATAACTCGCTGCCTGTTTGCAAACAAGGTTGGTTGCAGTATTTTAGTCGGAGGCTGGCATATCTGATGTTATTTCTCCTCAGAGTACTGTGATCTCATGGACCACAATATGGCAACTAACCACATGAGGCAACAGGAAGACTTGTATGCAGTATATTCATTCCATGGTTCCTCGGTATTAAAGAATGTCTTTATATAACTTGAATATAAACAGTCTATGAGAAATAATATGCTAAATAGAAATACTGCTTAGAATCACAGTATTCAATTAAATCCCTAATCTTTTGTGCCAAATCATAGAAACTGATAAACATAAATCTTCTTTTCCAGATGGCATATCAAATCATCCCAGCTGCTGTTGACTGGTAAAATAGTTTGCAAAAATCAATATGGCACATGAGTATATTCCTTTACCCAACCATACATGAAGAAATTATTCCTCAAAAGGGACAATATCATCCATGCAAAACTCTCCTTTAGGTCACACAAAGGCATTAAAATGGTGAAAAATTGTATCTAGAAAACATACAGAACTTTCATTCAATACTATAAAATTGTTGCACTTCACAATTTTTCTATATTTTCAGAAATAAAAACTTGGAAACTTAAGTACAGCAATTACCAATAGCTCACTGGGTTTTTCAAAAAACAAGTCTGTCCTGGTTTCAGCTGGGATAGAGTTAATTGTCTTCCTAGTAGCTAGTATAGTGCTATGTTTTTAAGTTAGGTATGAGAAGAATGTTGATTAAGCTGATGTTTTCAGTTGTTGCTAAATAATGTTTAGACTAAAGTCAAGGATTTTTCAGCTTCTCATGCCCAGCCAGCAAGAAGGCTGGAGGGGCACAAGAAGTTGGGAGGGGACACAGCCAGGGCAGCTGACCCAAACTGGCCAAAGGGATATTCCACACCATGTGACATCATGCCTGGTATATAAACTGGGGGGGAGTTGGGGGGGGGGGGGCAGATCGCTGCTCAGGAACTAACTGGGCATCGGGCGGTGAGTGGTGAGCAATTGCACTGTGCCTCATTTGTACATTCCAATATTTTTATTACTACTGTTGTCATTTTATTAGTGTTATCATCATTATTAGTTTCTTCTCTTCTGTTCTCTTAAACCATTCTTATCTCAACCCACGAGTTTTACTTCTTTCCCTGATTTTCTCCCCCATCCCACTGGAGGTGGGGGGGAAGTAAGTGAGCAGCTGCGTGGTGCTTAGTTGCTGGCTGGGGTTAAACCACATGTCCACACAGAAACAGCTAGATATTTTATATGCACCTAGCATAAAACAGAAATGAAAAATGCTGATACGCAACATGTTCAGCAGCCCATCCAAAGTAGGGATAGTGCAAAGAAAATTCCCATTTGAGAACTTCTATTGCAAAGTGGTCCCCAAAGAAGTAACGGAAAAGAAATGCAATAATTCTCCTCCAGAATTGAAATGAGGGAGGTATGGAGAAATGAGACATCACCAGTGGCCATGCTTAACTTTTCTCAGGAATGGAAACTTTTGAAACTTTTTTCTGAATAGGTTCCCTTTAGATGAAATCAGTATAAGCTGTATTAATGGAGACAGACTTTTTTCTACAGATAGCCCAATTTCAATATTAGCTAGAACACTACTAACCGTTATTAGCAAACTTATTAAAAGGCTTTCATATTATGACTTGTTGCAAACATCTATGATGACTAGAATTACTTTATACTTTTCTGCAGCCTATGACATGAGCTGCCTTCAAGCAGAGCATCCTAAAAGCATCAGCAGGTCCCCTACAGAGTTGTGCTCTCTCAGACTTGGAACTTGGTAGGCCTGCCTTACATGTGAGGAATGAAGTCTACAAGCCCCATAGAACCTAATTAAAAAAAAAGCTTTGCATAACATTATGATCCCAAATTTTGCAGCAGACTTGGAGTCTGGCACAGATAGCTCTCCTTAAGCTGCAGATCCTGACACCACCAGAAAGAAACAAACATTGCAAGTAAGTCTTGGGTATTTGCTGAAAACAAACCAACCAACCTGCCTACCCTCCCCAACAAAGTATTGCAAGCTTCTTGACCAGCAGGTCCTAGACTCAAGCTTCCAGCTTATTACCTGAATCACAAGACCCAACCTTAATCTTATCCTTTTTCCCTTACCAGTTCCATTCCAACCCTAACCAATGGTGGGGATTTTTTATCATTCCTTTATCAAAGTAATTTGCCTTGAAGCAAATTAAATGTGTTTGTGCTTAAACGTAAAAAGATTTACTGAACAATGGATTGGACAGGCCTACTTCCATAAGCAGCTCTACAAGGAGTCTGCAAAGATGCATCATGAGACAATTCCTTATATACACTTACACCAGCACCAACCATATGAGTATCAGCATGGGACACCTTAGCCCAGCGTTCAGTTCATCCCTCAGTGTCAGCTCTGTTTACCAAAAGCGGCCCCTGAGCACTCACATTCCAGGATGGATTGCTTCAAGAAAATGCTGTGACATTTCTTATCTTATTACCAAGGAAAACCCCACTCCTTTACATGAAGTCCTGTCTCTGGCATTCCTGCTACCAGCAAGTTTAAACCCATCTGCAGCTGGGCCTTCTTGCCCTCCATGCCAGATCACTCCTTGGTCACAAATTACCATTGCTGAGCAGTTACAATTTTAATTTCCCCTTCACTAAATACATTGTCAGATTTGTGTTCCTAGCTCACAGCTACTTACCACGTCTTATGTCTCCTTTCTCATTCTCAAAACCAGCACCTTTTCCACTTCCCATTATCAGGGTTTTTTCACTGTCAGACCTTCTTTACCTCTTTAAGTCTAATTAGAATTCTTAGCTTTACCTACTCATTCTCCTAACTTGATTCAGTTTTTGCCCTCTGTGCATTTCTTACTAGAAAGTTTCTGTAACAGTACAAGAGACACAGATTTACCCTCCATGGTAACATCCAATTCTTTCATCTTATCAGCTTAGAGGAACTAGGAACAACATGAGAGAATAATAGATTCAACCTTAGTTCATCCTTAACTCCTTCTCTTGTGCTCTGTAGATAAAAACCTGCTGAATTGCTCTGTGAGGCTGCTTTCCTGAAAGTGCAGTTTGTTGAGACTGAAAATGTCCAAAACGTGGATGTGATAAATAATCAAACTTGAAGTTTACCACAATTAACTGAGCATTTCTGTTGCGTTCTGGTTTTAAGTTTCGTTACTGAAAATGGCTAACCTACTTTATCTGAAGTTTCCCAAAGTGCAGAGTGAGAAAACATCATGCAAAATTTCAGGCCAAACAGTCTAAATTGGAAACAACAGAAAAGACAGTCTTAAAGTGAAACGGGTTGAGCAATGTGAACAAGCAGGACTAAAGAAGACTACCTGTAGTGCATGCTTATTATACACTATTACAATAATATTATTTGGAAATTGTGTTATCTTGACAACTCATTTACCTTGAATTCTTCAACAATAATACTCAAGGCTTCATGTCCAGCTTTTCTCATGTCTTCTAACTCCTGCTTATGCTTTTCCTGTACAAAAACATGGAAAGATTATATACAACATAGGCACCTGACAACAATTTTAATTAGGAGGGTAAAGACCAATTATTTTCCTCATTTTTGGTATCTTTCATGAAGAAATGCACACATCTTGGCTCTTTAGATATTATATATATGCTCAATTCCAGCTCATCCTAGTATTAATCTAATTTTTATTTCTTAATTTTACTTTATTAGTCCCCAAATAATTCTAAATGGCTCTCCAATTTTTTAATTTTTAAAAAATTTTCTTTGTTACTCTGATTTTTCTGGTTTCTTGGTACACCTGTGGATGGCAAGACTTCCAAATCACTCTCTTAGTAAATGTTATTTACTGCCTATATTAATAAAAACTTTGAAACGGACTAGTATCAGACTCAGTTTCCTCAAAGAGCACACCCTTCCCCTACTCATTACATAGCTCCTTTTTTGTCTTTTTTTATTCTTAAGGTTCCCAGGAAAGCATTCTTGCATAAGACATCCTGGATATGTTTTTCAAATAAAGCTCTACTGTTTATTTTTTATTTTATTCACAGTATTATGTAAAAATAACATGAACAGGAACATTCTAAAATTTTTGCCTTTATATAAAAATGCTTGCCTGTAGTTTGCTATCTGAGTCTGCAATGTGAACACCTCGTTAGATTCTCATCAACATTTCACACTTATCAATGAGCAGCACCACTTTCTCAAATCACCAATTAGTAAGATGATGAAAAACCTTCCCTCCTCCCTCATTCTTTGCTTCAGGGATCTGTTCTTAAATCAGCTAGTACAGCAGGTCATAGGTGCTTTAAATCACCTTGGAAAACTGGTGCAGAAAGCAGAAAGACATTAATCACAAACATTACTTTGCAGTGATTAAAGGGCAAAACCATATACAACTTACACTACAAATTTATTGCTTTTGGGTTGGAATTCAAGTTGAAATTAATCCAATTCTATGTTTTCTAAGATCTGTATATTTGAAATAAGCAAAACCTAGTGTCTAACAAAGTATGTTCAATTTTATTATGAAAGGCCATATAACACCATTAAAAATAAATTAATCAGTCTGTAACTCTATATTTGATTAGAGGTTTCTGCTCTGTCATTCACTTCCTTTCTCCTGAAAGGGTCATCTTAGCAAAAAGTTTGAAATTATAGCTATACAAACTTCTTATCTTCAGCCCAAATGTAATGAGACATTCAGATTCTCTTGAATAGAACTGTTTTTTTTGTGAAGCCCTGTGAGAACAACTGATATGAAGCAGAAGAATTGAAGATGGAAGTATTTTGATATATAAATAAAATACTACATCAGATAATGTGCAACATCTGGGTACATCTGTTTAATCACATTGTGATGCACAGGTATTACTGATACCACAAACTAGTTAAACTCAGATGTTATATATGATATATGTAAAAAAAAAAAAAACAGTGCTGAGCTAGAAATATTCTTACAGTACAAAACTACAGAACTGGTATAAGGAGGAGAAACATGGTCCAGTGCTTAACTCCAAAACTTCACAAATCATTAACAAATACATTCCCTGTGAAAAGTGAACGGGGGGGGGGGGGGGGGGGGGGAGATTGGATGAGAAAAAAGCAACTACTATAGTAGCATATCCTGAATTCACAAATACAAAAAAAGGCTTAGAGAAAGAGGAAGTTAATGGTAATTAATTATTCTAGCTGGAAAAAAAAACCCAAAACAACAAAAGCAAAACTGAAGAGAAAGCATTCTGTGTGAGAAAAGCCTTTAAATAAGAAGAGCTAAACCAATAAGATTTCCATCTAAGATCTGTCAGAACTACCTTCAATGCAACAATAAGACATAGTGCATCAAGTGTGTTGACTGAGGAAGTAACATTTCATTCTGATAAACAGTACAGTGCCTCTCACTACAGTTACCAGGCAAATCAAGGCACAAAGAAAAAAATGCACTTTGTCCTCTTACAATAAATCAAGTTTTTCAGAATTAGTGACTTTTTCAAAGTGATGTACTAAATGCAAACTGATAACACAAGTTGAAGCATCAAGACCAAGGTATAACTACCAACATGAAGATTCCTTCCAACATATTTTAGAGTACTTACTTTCTTAAAATATTTCCTAAGGTAAAGGAAAAGAGTCATTAGTAAAGAACTAATAGTAAGGCATCAGTTTTGCTTAGGTCAGGTCTAGCAGTCAATTTCTATAACAGAGGTAGAAGAGAAAATGAAAGGCCATTATTACAAGTACAGAGACAAAAAGTTTAAGGTCACTTTTCAATGCTCCCTCCAAGTAAGGGCTTCATCCAGTCTGATGAACACTACATTGCCTTTTTTCTGTGTTTATTTGCAAGATTCTTCAGCTAAGACAGCAGGCCTGTAAGTTTGTTTCTTTTAACTCATTAGGGTGCATTTCGATTCTTTTGAGGATGGCTGGCATTTTCTTCTGAAAGTCTGCAACATATTGTTTCAAAATCTTATAGATACATCACTCAAAGGAATGTGTGCTTGGTCCTTGTAATATCCAATAAGGAGAAGAGCCAAAATCAAAGTAACACATTTTGGAAGTGTATGCATTGATCTACTGTCTAACAGTGAAGATAGATCAAAGTTCCCGAGTTTCATGATTTGGCTATGAACTCAGCAGAAACATTCCAAGAACAGCAGCATACTCATTTGATGAACAACGGTCATGTCAGTTCTTCACAAATCCTCAATAAAATGTGTACTTTCTGTAGGAAAATAAGTTTAATGAATTGACGTAACTAGTCTTAGAATTATTACTCTGCTTGCAAGAAAGAAAAGGGAAGCTTTGTGAAAAGCTCTGAATAGTGTAAACCTGAAATTAAAATGTAATATTCAGATTTCCTATCAAAGAGAGAATTTTCTGTTTTCTGGCTCTTGTAGAATTCTCCTGCATGGTTTGCATGACCTTGGAGAAGTTTTTAAAGAACGTTGTTGTTCCCTTCCTTTACTTAATAAATGCTTTTAAGAAAGGAATCAAACACGAGTTGAAAAGTTTGAAATTTAAGTAAAATCATCTTCAGAGGACTTTCACACACCCCACCCCCCCTTATGCCTTGTGATGGACAGAATCTCACATCAGAATGTTGACAGTAATTAAACATAGACTTGGAAGACAGAGGGGTTTCTTTTAGTTTGAGATCAAAATCTTGACAATCATTCCAGAGAGTTTGAGGCATTGTGTGGACACAGTAGGAAAGTAACAGGCAATACATTGCTCAATGGTTATCAGTGTTTCAATTCTTTCTGTTTAGTGACTCTTATATGAGGAAACATTTCATTGCAAACACTTTATGCAAAAGAATAGATGCTTTAAAATGCCACCAAATGTATGTGCCTTCAGAAATATATCAAATGAATGATGAGAAAATGGGATCAAACTTTGAAAGTTTTCTTACTATCTAAAATCCAAGTGACTTCAGACTCTCCTTTTCTTTTCTTAGGCCCCTGTGAATCAAACCACTGTAGAGGCAGATGGATCCAGATGCCTGGTGAGCTTCCAAGAGGTGCAGTTCCCAAGGATGCCGTTGGGCAGAGAAGACTTCTGAAGTGGCTGTGACAGCAGGAAAGGTTACTGACCACCCACCATCCAGCTGCTTGTCACTGCCTGCCAATTGCGTTAGCTCTTCTTTTAGATCTTTTAGCTGAATTGCTTCCTAAATAATTTCAGTCTAAGTGAACCATTGTTAGCATAAACAGGTTTCTTTGTTGACCTCCAGCATTTCGACAGAAATGCAGGGCATGTCTTTGCCCATACTGGGAAGTATAAGGGTGACAGCTCTCAGAGTACTATGTAAGATCTGCAATAAGGTTTGTGAGATCTGAAGGGGGAAGAAGAAAGAGTAAAGACATCAAACTTATTTTATTTCATTATATTTACTTACCCTTAAGTTGATATATTTTTCTGCTAACTTTTTAAGAGGTAGGCTGTCTTGAATTGTTGGGGAAAAACACATGCCACCCACACACTCTGCACACATTCCCTACTAACCTTCCACTCTGGCATGCCTGCATGTCACACATATTGTAACAGCAATAAGTGAAAGCTTATACAAGAAGTGGGGG